ATCTCACAATATTGATGACTTATGCTCAAGGTTGGTTTCCCACACACCTTGCATGTCCATCATGGGCAGCCTGGAGCTACAATGGAACCGGAGCTGAGAGGATCGTCATTATTAGAGATGTTTATGATTGTGATAGAGGAAAACAAGAACAAGGAGACAGCCTCCACCAAGAAGAAAGATGCCTCATTTCCTCTCACCCTTTTAGTGGCCACAAGTCACAGGGCCACATGCAAGTTCAATATTTGCTAGGCTGGTCCAAAGATGGAGTCGCCTAAGACTGTGAGCACAGTTTTCCCGTGCTGGCAGCTGTTCTCAAATAACCCCTTCAGAGTCTTAATATTAATTATAAAGGCTTGGCCGATAGCTCAGGTTTATTACTAACTAGCTCTCACAAATTAACCCATATTTCTTATCTGTGCTTTGCCATGTTGCTTGGTACCTTTTCTCACTATGGCATGCCCATCTTGCTTCTCTCTCTCTGCATCTTCTGGTGACTCCAGACTCTGCCTTTCTTGCTACCAGCATTCTCAGTTTGGCTCTCCCGCCTACACTTATCCTGTTCCACTATTGGCCAGTCAGCTTCTTTCTTAACCAATGAAAGTGATATATATTCACAGTGTACAGAAGGATTACTCCACAGCATAAGACACTAAAATGGTGGCCCATGAGTGACCCAGTCCCTTCAGGGGAATGGAAGTTTAATGTTCTGTGTATCTCAGAAGTGTGCTGACCCCTTATCTCAGGAGAACAGCTTGGCCTCGTGCTACGTAATGGCCAGAGGTCCCAGGAAGTTATTCTTACAGTAGTTGTCATTTCCATCACATCCAGGGTCCCAGCGCCATCAGCATTCAGGCAAAAAGCTTAGTCACCCTAGGTGCTAGCATTTCCAGGGTCCCACGACTGCGCATGCACCATCAGCATTCAGGCAAACAGCCTAGTCAGCCTTGGGTCTTAAGCCCTGAGTAATCTATGCACATGTGCAATGTGACTGCATAATCTATACATGTGCAAGGCATGGCTATGTAAGCCCCTATAGGCATGCAAAGAATTACATCTAAAAAGTGGACATGCTCTCTTTTGCCACGTTTTCTTCAGACAGGCCTGTGCACCCCCTCTTTCCTTCCTCTTTATTAATGACAACTCCAAAGGTGGGTTTCATTGTATACCTTGTGGTTCGTTCTCACGCAGGGTTCTATCAGCAATCCCTTTTGTCTGTACTTTTTCTTGATGTTCTCCCTCACTCTCCCACCAAGTTTAAACCACCCAATAAACCCCAAATTCCCCCTTTTTGGCAGGACTGCTCTCCCTTTTCTTGGAGCACCCTGGCAGTTCATACCAGAAATAAAAATATCTTTTGGCCTCAGAGGCTCTGATGGCTGGTTCTCTTGTTAAGACTCATAATATTAGCTACGTTTTCTTTGTTGTGATAAAAAAAAAAAGTCCTGACAGAAGTAACTTCAGGGGGATTTATTAGGGTTCATGGTTTCAGAGGATCTCTGCCCACATGGTGGATCAACTTGGCAGTGTGGCTCGGTCTGTGACGGTGAGGGTTGACAGGGAGGTGAAGCAGAAAGCAGCTGTAGAAGAAGCGGCTGGCCTAGAATTGTTTAGGGTGTGTGTGTGTGTGTGTGTGTGTGTGTGTGTGTGTGTGGTGCTGGGGATGGACCTTGGGCCTTGTAGGTGCTGGGCAAGAGCTTCACTGCTTAGCCCCTCACTGGAGGACTCAAGGCAAATGTTCCTCGGGCTATAATCCTCCAAGTCCTGCCTCTAGTGACCTACTTCTGCCAGCCAGGCTCCACCTTCTAAAAGTTCCAAAGTCTCCCAGAATAGCCCCACCACCATTTCAAATGGTGAGCCTGTGGGGGACATCTCATCTCAGGTTCAAACCATAACAGCAGGAAAATAAAACTCTCTTGTATGGAGAAAAACAGACCTTGATGGACAGTAGTACAGCTTACCGTAAGACAAGCTGGCCGTGTGCGGGAGAGCTCTCCAGGCAGAAATAACAGTGACTTAGAGAGGCCCCTTATTTCTCTGTCATACCATAGAAACTAAAGGATGGTGTCCAAGTCTGCAGAAATGTGTTCTCTCTCTCTCTCTCTCTCTCTCTCTCTCTCTCTCTCTCTCTCTCT